TAATTTATTATTAATATTTAGTAAAATTTATTATTTGATTTTTATTTTATTTATGATATTTATTTTTTTAATTTAATTTGTATTTATTACTTTTTTTAGAAATTTATAATACCAGTAATTTTATTTATTATCAAGAAAATGATATGAGATTAGGACGAATTCGAGCTATAGTTTTAGCAAATGAAATTTTAAAACTAAAGATTCAAAAAATTATTAAATTTGATAAAGTTCCAAAAAATATTCAAAGCAGCAACCGGCAAGTTAGTTCTCAATCAGAAGAGGTATGGCTAGTTGATCAAGTTATTAACTTGGTCAACAAGCAAGAAGTCATTGGGCATGCAAGTATTACTATCTTATCTAATAACAAAGAACATTATTCTTATTATATAAATGAGATTATTTATAAGTTTAAAGGCCATTAGAAGATTCGAAATATCTTATTGGAATATCAGCATCCTTTTGAATATGCAACTATTTCTTTACTACCAAGTGAAAATATACCAGTTCTCAAACTATTTCTGGATCTTTACTATGATGATTTTGGGACTTATCAGAATATATATTATTCACTTGGGGGTGTTTATATTCAATTTGGCAACATGCTAATATCTTTAAGGCAGCAGTTAAGAAATCATTTTGTGTTAGGATTTGTGCCCTTTAGTGGATTGTTTGATGAATTTATTAGACCATTTATTGTAAAAATAAAGTTACTAGAAAGTGGTTAAATAATGAATATCCAAGGCCAAGAGTACTAGGTTATAGCAAGTCTAGGGGTAGTTATAGCAGATTTTTCTCAAGGAAATGATCTTGCTAGTGTTAAAAGGCATAGTGCAAATAAGAGATATCGAACTTGTCAAGTTTTTAAAGAACATTTTACAAATAATAATTTGGATTTTAAAAACTTGTCAAGACATTAGCATATCACCAATAGCCAATTTTATGAAATTGAATTAGCCAAATCTATGCAAGAGCATAAATTAGTTGCAACTAAATATGGGCTGCACAATAGTATTCCAATATTAAGTTAACTAATATAAGATCGGTATCTTCAAACATCTCAAGACATCTATCATGCAACTGCTAGAAAAATAATGAGACTTTTAAAATTAACAGTTAATTTATTTTTACCAGAAGGTCAAAAAGAATCTATTGAAGCTTGAAAATTTTGAATATCCAGCACACTGGAGTCATTTGCCTAATCCAATTAGTTACTATAAAAGTTTTATGAGGTCTGACTACCTTTGTCTAGCAATGGTTATACCATTTATTCTTAACCAATTCTTAAAAACTTGTCATATTAAAAGTTCTGAACTAACAAATATTCAGCAACAAATAAATTCTAATTGTACTGATTTGGTTTCTAAATCTTTAATTAAATGTTGGGTTTTAGTAGCAAAATCAGCACAATTAGTATTTAAAAAAGTATATTCAATAGATGATTATAAAAATCTTCAAAAATGGTTAGAGACAGAGAGTCAAATATTAACTCAAGTAATTATTGTTTATTTATATTATTATTATTATTATATGTATATAATTTATAATAAGTCTGTTAATATAATTTTTTGTTAGGTTTTTGCTGAATTTGAGAATCTTCTGAATCTTCATATTAATAACCATTTACTATTACATGCACATACTTACGGCAACCTTGTAAATACTTCAGTTGGTACTAAAAAAATAGTTCACCGAATTTTTAAAAATCTAGTACCATGAACAAATTGCAAGAATATTGAATTAGAATTGTTGAAACAATATACTACATTATTTGCTATTCGGCATCTTATTAATGGTGGTGTTAATAGCAGAATCTCAATATCTAATCAATATTTTGCAAGATTTTAAAAAATTATTTAGTGATTGGTTTATTACCAAAACTAATAATTTTATACAATTAGATCATGAAGATATTGATATTGAAGGTTATTATTATTTGCTATTTTTTCTTGTTATTACTATTTTATTTATTTCAGTAATACATTATTGGATTTTCAACATACAATAACTATATAGGTAGCTGTCAATAGAAAACTAACTTTCACAGCTCATATTTCGATGAATTTTAAAGATATCTTGATGGTTTAATATTCAAAAGAAAGCTTAGATCAGAAGCTTTCTTTTGAATATTAAACCATTAATATATCTTTAAAATTCATCGAAATATGAGCTGTGAAAGTTAGTTTTCTATTGACGGCTACCCATATACATTAAAATGAACGTATATACTAATATATATATTGCTTATTTAGTACATTCACTAATATTAAAATTAAAAAAAGGATTCGTTTACAAGATCTTGAAGAAAAAGTACTATGTCAAATAAATAATTCTGAATTTAGATTAGAGTTATACCTTTCATATTGCGATTTTGGGCATATGGAAGCTCTCATTAATACAGGTCTAAGCTTTTATGAAGGTGTAACATATCTGATAGAGAATAGTTATAATATTATTGAAAAGTATTTACTACATGTTGGTGATATTATAACTATTCAAAAAGAAGAAGAAGAAAGCTATGCTATACTGAGAGCAATTTTTCGTCATAAAGACAATAATGGATATTTTTATCTATTTATTGTAATTAATTGGCTTGAAAAAACCAACCAAGTTCATAGTTTATTAGAATGCCCAATTTATAAAGTTCAATTAGAAAAAAATCAAGATTGGCGACATGTCTACCCATTGTCGGTAGTTGATCAAATAAAAAAAGCTCATTTTGTTCATAGATGTTCAAGTGAATGTACAATTAGCCATGATTTAGAAAATATGTACTATTTAAAAAATGTTTATTATTTTACTGCTATTTAATTAATATTAATATTTGACATTGTATTATATTTGGCAATAACATATCTGATATGCGTATATATAGTAACAATAATCATTATCTTTATTGTAAATTTGCGCAGACAACTGTATCACATGTCCTTCGGCCATGTGATCCAGAATTTAGATATAATGATAATTTTATATATCAGATATATTGATATACGTATGGTATTACATAATAAATATTGTATAGCTGTAATCAGATTTTTTTTTTGATGTTCTTTTTCATTATCATTTTTTTTTAATATTATTGTTATGCTTTTTTTTTGGCTTTTATATTCTTCTATAGTTTTAGATATTTCTCTCCTCTATGATGAAACTAAATCTAAACATAACAAAAAGCTACAACTAAAAGCCAAATACAAAAACATAAACTTGAATACGGTAAAAAGATAGTTCTGAACATGATTCCTTATGGTTCTTTCTATGATTTTAGAATGTTCTTTCTAACTTTGCTTGCTTTTTTATTTTTATTTTTTTTTGACTTTTTTTCTATAGGTTTTTGAGATTCTATTTAATAGCTGCTCTACAAGTTTTCTGGTTCATCAATGTTCTATGGTACTTTGATATTCTTTTTACGATTCTTTTTTTTTTTTTTTATTTGAAGTTCTTTGACATTCACACTAATATTTTCTAATGTTCTTTTAGTTCTTGAAACTTTCTTTGAACTTGTAATGGTTTTTAACGATTTTTCTACAGATTATTTAGTACTTTCTTTATGGTTCTTTGACATTCACACTAATATTTTCTAATGTACTTTTAGTTCGTCAAAACTTTCTTTATGATTTTACAATCTTGTGATAGTTTTTTAACAATTTTTCTACAGATCATTTAGTACTTCTTTATGGTTCCTTGATATTCACACTAATATTTTCTAACATACTTTTAGTTTGTTGAAACTTTCTTAACAATTTTACGATCTTGTGATAGTTTTTTAACAATTTTTCTACAGATTATTTAGTACTTTCTTTATAGTTCTTTGATATTCACACTAATATTTTCTAATATTCTTTTAGTTCGTCGAAACTTTCTTTATGATTTTTTAACGATCTTGTGATAGTTTTTTACCGATTTTTCTACAGATTATTTAATATTTTCTTTGAAGTTTTTTTGATATTCACACTAATATTCTCTAATATTCTTTTAGTTCGTCAAAACTTTCTTTACAATTTTATGATCTCGTGATGGTTTTTTAATGATTTTTTTATGATCATTTAGTACTTTCTTTATAGTTCTTTAACATTCATACTAATATTTTCTAACGTACTTTTAGTTCATCGAAACTTTCTTTACGATTTTTTAATGATCTTGTGATGGTTTTTTAACATTTTTCTACATATTATTTAGTACTTTTTTTATGGTTTTTTGACATTCACACTAATATTTTCTAACGTACTTTTAGTTTGTCAAAACTTTCTTTATGATTTTTTAATGATCTTGTAATGGTTTTTTAACGATTTTTTACAGATCATTTAATATTTTTTTTGAAGTTTTTTTTTGATATTCACACTAATATTTTCTAATGTACTTTAGTTCATTGAAACTTTTTTTACGATTTTTAACGATCTTGTAATGGTTTTTTAACGATTTTTCTACATATTATTTAGTACTTTGTTTATAATTCTTTGACATTTACACTAATATTTTCTAATATTCTTTTAGTTCGTCGAAACTCTCTTTATGATTATTTAACGATCTTGTGATAGTTTTTTAATGATTTTCTATGGATCATTTAATATTTTCTT